AAAAGGCAAATACATGTATAAGCCCTTCTGGCTGCCTTCTCAGTTTGATTTCATCCAGATGTAGATCCCCTTTATTGTGGAAGTTCAAAATTGGTGAGAATATGAAGTTAACAACGAATTAAAAGAAAAGCAAACTAAGATGAACATCCACGTTGCCCACCCAAACAAATGCCAGTCCCAACAGAAAGACATTGGAATTATTTTCTGGGATGTTACAGGAAGTCCACAATAGAGCTAAATACTACAGCCTCCATGTACAGAACTATGATCTTCTGGCTCTTGAATCAACTGCAACCTCAGGCCAGACATCCAAGGTGCCTTGTAGAAGCATTGCTGAAGTTGCAGAAGCATCAGTCATGGATTCTGTGTTTGGCTTAAATCTTGGCTGCTATGCCTCAGTACCAGCCTTAATCTTCCTCTGGATATGGAAGATGGAAGAGATAATCCAGTGCAACTGAAGTAGCAGATAAAGACAAGACTAGAAGTTCAAACAGGGTTGGCCCTTTCCCTTCACTAAGGAAAGATGAGAGGCTTGGAAGCAGCATCTTCAAAGTGGAATATGGACGTAAAAGATATACAGACCCAAAGCCCATCCAGAGTACAAACCTTTTGGCGGAAAATTCGCAGAAGGATAAACTGTTAGCCTATTGTAGCACTAAAGAGTCAAGAGTCTTATGGCACCTTAAAAACAAATAACTGTATTATGGCATACAAGTAGCTAGTGGCCTATTCAAGTTATTATTTAAAGTGCCATAAGACTTTTTTTTGGGGGGGGATAAGCACTTTTTACTTATCTAATATTAGAACAATGCTAATTCAGGGTGAGATGCTTATCTGACAAAGCAACAACAGGTATGTGGGCTTGTGATTCATTTCCTCACCTGCTGGCTAGAAATATCATCTTCATCTTCTAACCAAGCTGGCTTGATGGGAAGCAGGGAATCCTGTCTTTCTCCCCCTGCTCCCCCCGGCGGGCCCCCATCATCTGTGGATTCATTCTCGGTGGTGGAATCATCACGTTCCCCATCAGTTAGGTTCAGGAGAGAAACATTAGTACAAGCCGAAGAACGCTTCAAGTTGAGATTGGGGCTTTCAGGGGTAAAATGGGGCTCAACTCTGGGTTAGAAAAAAGTACATACATTATCCTTAGATACAGTGATGGACAACTTTCTTTCTTACATAATATATTGCAGAGGGGTAGTTGTGTTAATTTAGTACAGCAAAAAGCTTTGTGATGTCTCAATGGCTAACATATTCCTTTGCAATCTAAACTTTTGGGATCCAAAAGCAACCCTTGGCTAGTAACAATTTTATCATCTTCTACTACGCTTTCTAAACTCTTTCATGAGCAACAGATGTCAGTATATGAAGATATGGAAACAATGAGAGACAGAAATCTTAGCTCAGCACTCCCAAATCTGGTGCTTTCTATGTGTGTGTTGGTCTTCAACATTCTCAGTTTATAACAAATATGGCCAATGGGATTATGAAAATCCTAGAAAATTATTCTGGAAATTCTGAGAATTGAAATCCAACACATTGGTAGGGCCCCTGGTCTTACTTATTGATTGCATCATTTATATCCTGCCCCCCAAGTCAACAAACTTTGGGTGACTCACATAAAATCATATTCCTCTACCCAATACATTCAAACAACAGAACAGGGGGGCAGACTGTTCCAAAGAGATAGGGCAACTATCAGAAAGGCTCCCATCCCCCTCACCTCTTGAAGTGGGAGGGAATCCAAAGAAACCCCTCCCAGGTAGGATGCACAGAACCTATTTGAAGATGGTTCATCAAGTAACACAGCCCAAACCATGTAAGGCTTTATAGATCAAAATCAGCATTTTGTACATGTAAATTTATTGATAACCAATGCAGAGCCCACAGCACAATGCTGCCCTGCTGAAGTGATTCTCAGCTCTCAGCATGTGGGCACCAACTACAGTTTTAGAGCATCTTCAAGGGCAGCCCCAAGCAGAACACATTGCAAAAATCAGTCTTGAGATAATGAGGATAAGAGTGACCATTACCACGGCCTCCCACTCCACAAAGAACATGACAGATACACTAGACAACACTGGGAAAAGGCTTCCCTGGTAACAGAGTCCACCTGCTAATCAAACAGAAGGATCCCCATTTTCACATTAGCTCCATCAAGGTATGTGATCCTCTCCAAAGCCAACACAGGAACACAAAAGAAGCCCAATTGTTTCTGAACAAGCAATAACTTCATCTTGCTGTGATTCAGTTTCAACTTGTTTCATCCCATTCCATTCAATCCCTCACCCTTCACATCTCCTCTGCATCTCCTGCAGAAGGGCTGACTGGCTTTTGAATTATGAGAAGTGCCTCTGCATGTTGCTGGGATCAAAAACCAGACCATGACAGAATCAAGCTAGTGCCGGTGTGAGGTGCCTGCCCCCAGGCTATATGGTTTCCCACAATGCCTCTCCAGAGTTCAACAATAATCTCTGTTATAGTACCTGCTTTAGATCAGATGGGATTCATTGTCCACTTAGCCCAGTGTTGGACTACAAACCTTCATTATTCTCAGCCAGCATGACCATGCAGGCTACAAATTCTGGTAGTTGTAGTCCAACAAAGCTGGGATCTGAGAGCAGCAGCTCTCCATGATCTGAAGGAGAAGATTTTTTTGCATCATCTGCTGCCAGAGGCCTTTTCACCTGGAGATGCCCAGGACCAAATCTGGAACCATCTGTGTGCAAAGCAGATGTGCTACTGTGTACCCCCCTCTCTGTATGTTCTCACATGCTGCAAAAAGGGCACTGAACTCCACCTCCACCCTTTCCCTTCCCAGGGCTCCCACCCATGGAAAGAAACAGCTTTCTTCTTTTTGGGGAAGCCCTTGATGCTGGTCGTCTTTCCCGGCTGCTCCTTGCTGCTGTGAGCCCGACTTTCAATTCCTGTTGGTGTGTCTCCGGCCTCGTTTATTTCCTTGGACTGCCAGATGGTCTTCACCACAATGTTGGCCATTACTGAGTTGGGGGTT